GGTATTTATTGACGTCACGGCCAGTTACTCTCAGCTCGATTGGCGCAATCTTGTATTCTATCATTCTTGGTTCCATTATTTCTTGAGGAAAGAGTGAGGCAACAGGCTGTGAAGTATCAAAAATGTCAAAATTCCTTGGACACACACACGAAATAATGGCAAATTTTTCTTGACCGATTTCTTGAGAGCTGCATACCAGCCTTTAAGATGGCCTAATCAGACCATAGGACTCAGGAAGTGTGCTACTTCAACACGGTCTGCCCATAAGGACAGGGGCGTCAGCTGGGAGGGATCTATCCCTGCAAGAAGTGTACTGGTAAAATGACTCGTAATATTGCCCGGACCGATGACTGAAAGTTTCAGTATTTTTCCCATCACACTTTCAAAGGCTCGGGGTACTTTTGTGACCGTTTATTTTCTTATATTCCCATATGTGTGATTTTACATCTCGCTCTTTCTCATACCTTATGCGCTTACCTAAACGTATATCTGCATTGCTTACACTGTCACAGCTACTCTGGCTATTACTAGTCAAATGACAAAAGTTTTTTTAAACGATTTTACTACTTTAATGACTATAATTTTACAAGTACAATGGCCTTCATTTTACTGGCATACCGACCGTCATTTTACTTGTAGTTTGATAGCCATTTTACTAGTAGTTGGGCCGCAGTTTTACCTGTACAATGCCAAAACTTCGCGACACCCGTTTTTTACTTGCTGAACAAATAAAAATAGTTCAATTATGTATAAAAATTGTTTATTTAAATTAAATTAAAATTAATTTTTGATTTTGATACAACAGTAAAGTACATACATATATTTTAAAAATATTGTTTTCTTATATATTGTAAATATTAACCTTTTTTATTAATTTCAAACCGATATTGAACTAAAGTAATAATTAAATATTTTTTTTATACAAGCATTTTTTAATATTATTTTAATCATTGTTATTTTCGTTAGTGCTATGATTTTTGTTTATATTAATCTTATAAAACTTAATAACATTTATTAATATTATTTTTATTACTAAATGCATTTAATTATTTTTTATTACTATTGTATATTTATTAATATAACTTATTAATTTTTTCATATTTCATTATTATTTTTATCATTATTACTAGTTTTGTTATATTATAATTTTTTACCATTATTTTTTTATATATGTACGTACATATATATATGCATATATATAACATATATTTATATATATTAATTTTGAAAGTGGCAGTAATTTCATGCTGGTTGACTTCAGTGATAAAGTAGTATCTGAATTCATCGGTAAATCGTTCTACCGTTATATATGAATATATTTTTTTATATAACAGTTTTTTAATATTTTGATCAATACTATTACTTTTATTAATATGTATAATTATTTTTATCAATATTATTATTTTCGTTAAAGCTATGAATTTTATTAATATTTTTTATCAATTTTGTTACATTTATTACTATTGTTATTTTACCATTATTATTATATACATTTATTGGTTCACTTTATCTTTGTTGTTATAATTTTTATACAGATTGTTGTGCATCTATTTTTTTATTAATATTATCCTTGCATTTTTTTTAATTTTTGTAATTATTATATTATTTATGTATTTATTATAAATATTAAAGTTTTCATTCATATTACTAATACTATTGTTTATTACTTATATCAATATCATATGTAATAAACTCTATTTAAATTTGGGATATAGTATAATTAAGATTTACATGTTTATAAAACTTTTTATTATAAGATTTACTTATATTTATTTATAAGATTTACATATTTATAAAACTCTTAAATACTTATACATTAATTAGTAATACTTAAATGTTTAATTTGGAAATTGTTGCCTTGTTGCTTTTTGTCTAAATATCTCCTTTGTTTAAATCGGTTGTGGCTCTGTTCGACGAATTTTTTTATTTCCCTTTCGAAATCGATTCGCCCTTTGATTATAAAAGTATCTATAAAAGATAAAAATTAGATTTCGTACACATGTATGTATATACATTTCCCAAAAACAAATTATCAAGGCTTACCAAATAAAACATCATGGACCAGTTTTAGCTTTCTTAGGGCCTTTTTTCCACATCTGCCATCCCAGTTAAATTTATAAATTACTTCGTCACAGAAAACTTTTTTCATAACGGGGCCTATGTCACCAGAGGTCCCTTTAAGGGTAAATAAGTATGTTTTCTAAATAAAAAAAGATAAAAATTCAGTTTTGGGCATAGAGTTTAAAATGTTAGTCGTACCATAGCTTCTTCATATTCAGCTGCTTTCAACTTTTCCTCCATATCAAAAATTGATTCAATTGTGGTGAAGGGCATCAAAGAAGCGAACTCGGTGTGCATGTCGTTTTCAGCCTCGCCACTTATGCGACACACTAGCTTGTGAACCCTTTTAATCAAGACTTTGGACTCGCGCATCACCTTGTGTTGAGCCATCACTTCGTGCTTTTCCGGTATCTGAAAAATATTTGAATAAATAATTAATTTGAGATATTTAGTTTATATTGAGATTATTTAGTTTTCAACGAACTAAGCCAATAAAATCTATACACAACGATACACACGAAGCAACCGACTCGGCAACCAACAGAAAATATAAAAATAATTTGATTTTCAGGCGACGGTTGCGGCAACACGAATTTCAATGACCAACAATGCTACACACGATGCAACGGCCGAAGCAACATGCCATGCATTATGCATTATAACAAAATAAATTATTAGTTATCAATTCTTCGTACCCTTTCCTCTAATCTGTCCATCCGCGCCTCGAAATCGTTTTGTTTTTGAAGAATGAGTTCCAGTACCTGTATTATGTCTGTAGATAGATACATATGTACATACATTTGTATTTGTCTGAATGAAGTGCCAAATTTACCATCGTTTGAAGTTCTACAAGTTTGTGAAGGGAGAGAAGTAGAGGCTTCAGAAAATCGTTTATTGTAGTCCACAGACAGTTTAAATTTTTTGCGCAGTGCACCCTTTGGTTCTAAAATAAAAATATTTAGTTAACATTTTTAATCCTGATTGGTCACTCTGGGTAAAATTTATCGCTTACCTCTTAACTCTTTAGGAGTTGATGTTGTCATCATATCGCTTTCAAAAAGATACTCCGTGGCTTCGATTATTTCCTCGCTATCTTCCATCATTTACTTGAAATTGTTTTCATCGTTTCGCATGCAAAAAAAAAAAAATAATTAGTAGAGTAAAGATCTAATTACAAAATTCATGAAATAGGCGGTGAAGGATTGGTATAAGAAGATATTTTTCTTTAAGTGGGATGGAAAAATATTTAAATCTAATATCTTCCTGAAAAATTTTAATTTTCTCAAAACTTAGTCTACTTCCAACTAATATACCAAGGTCAGGATACGATTCAAGAGGTTCTTCGAAATAGTTCTCTATTGTTTGAAACGTGTAACCCACTAGCACATCTTTTCCTGATTCTTTTAAAATATTTATGACTTTAAAGGGGCCTTTCGTTTCACTGAAGCAAAAAGAATCCTTTTGCTTTGAGCAATTTATGATAAACGAATCATATGTTGACTCCTTTTTCATTTCTAAATGTTTTCTTTCTTCAATGCGGAAGAAAAGCTGTTGTAAAATATTTGTTGGTTTTTTAATTATTTTTTTTAAAGTTTGAAGGTAATTCTCAAATCTGTAAGCAGAAAAGTCATCCAAGGGACCTATTTCACTAGCGCATGCAGGTAAATGCAACAAACCATGCACGTTAAAACTTATTAAATGATTGCCATATATGTTTCCAAATAAATTAACAAATTCATTTAGCATTTCTTGGACAACATTTGTTTGGCTTTTGTAAGACTTTTTACACGAAAGAATTCTTATACTAACATGTAGTAAACTAAAATGATAAAACAAATCGTCGGGAATAATATCTTTTAACACAAATATTCCGGAATACAATAAAAATTGCCGGAACTCTGTCGATTTCCAATTACTAAATTCATTAAGGTCTCTACAAACTCTCCCGAATTCCGATGGGATCCAGGAAGAAATAAAATTTAATCTTTTGTTAATCTCTCTTTTCATTAAAAGTTGCAAAAGCTTTTTTACCACGCCAAGATCAATAAGGTGCATTGGGTCTAGGGGGAATTGTGAAACCATTTTAAAGCCTGCTGCCTGTAACACATTGTCTTGTCCCTTTGAACTTGAACTATGATGCGCCTGGTCAGATTTGTTTTTGAAAGACAAGTCAGTTCGCAACTTGCCTATCTCTTTTGAAAAGGATACCCGCTTTTCTATATATTTCCCTACCTGGCAACATTTGGGACAACTATTTTTGCCATTATGGCCCTGTACTCCTGAAACAAAAGCTCGCGCTGGTGAGTCGCAAATAAATACTCGCACATCAAATTTTTTTAAAGTTGGAAATGAACCAACCTTTAAGCCATTTTGTTTTAAATGAATAACTTCCTCACAAAAATCG